CTCACAGCGTCATGTGCTGGAACCGGGACGTCGACGATAACCGAGGGCGTACCCAAGGAGAAGGAGGAAGGTTCCGCGTCCGTAAGCATGGACGAAGAAACCTCAAACGATAAGGCCGAAGCCTGAGGAGAATGGGAGGGAGACGACATGTCTGCCCGCCCGACTGCACCTGGGATTACCGGGCTTAAACCATGGATATCTCGCCCAAAGTGCCTTCGAGGCTAGGTAGCGCACACCAACTCAACCCTAAGCGAGGGGAGGAGGGAGTAAAATGCTTCAAGTGTGGTGAAACAAAATAAACAAACAAAGTGCAAGATAAATAACCGAGCCGATAAGCTTCAAAGAGGTAAAGGAATATCCCTGGCACGTAAGAAAGGGTGTCCGAAGGAAATTACCAGATTGCGTAAAGAACATAAAGTATAAGGGGGTACACCCCCTTATATAGATAGGAAATCCTCCATGATCACTAATACAAAAAGAAAGTCCTTGGCGTCGCGCGCAGCCGCGATCCTTCCGTCATGTTCCGCCAGGTTCTGTCGCGCGGCAACCTATCCCAATCATAATACAAAGGAAATCCTACAATGCAACCAACGAAACCACAACCGATATATGCAACCAAAAGTCCAATGTTCCTCCACGTCCAGTACACCGGGTGGCCGTGACAGTAGTCCATACCCAAGCACTTCAGTATATTTATCAAATGTTAAAGCTAGGCATGCTCTTCCTAATCTTATAGTACTAAGGATAAAATGCCAATACTGATATGCTGGGAAATCGATAAATGTTTCACTAGTAGAGGATACTTTGAAGTTAATTAATTCAATAGTAGCATAGATTGCAGTTGTTATTACTACCAGGAAAGGAGAAACTAGTACACCATAGTGCTAAAAGGCATTTCATTTTCAATTTTCAATATTTCGTCAATTGTTTCTGTATGATACTTTAGTTTATAAAATCTGCAACCATCACCACATGTACAAGATTCTTTATTGCTCTGGAGTACCGGTATTGCTGCGTTCTTAGGGGGGGAGGAGCATTTACTATCATACCCATGTTCGCGTTGTTATACAAGTGCCCTATCTCTACCCCGGTACCAACAGTACCTCACCCCCCCCCCCCCCCTTTGCGCTCGGATACTTGCCTACTACGAGGATAATGAACGCAGAAAAGCTGTTCACTATAGTCTACTCGTACGAGTACTCGAGTGCAGTCTCCACCGGGGCATGGCGAAACTGGGCGGGTGGCGAACAGGGATAAAACACTGGTAAAATTTCCCAACCCTAACCTTGACCGGTCCACTTTTGCCCACGAAGTATTATACCCCTGTTCGCCATCCGCCCAGTTTCGCCATGCCCCCCGGTGGAGACTGTAGTGATTAGCCATTAGCAAGGCGGGAAAGGAAGCTAACACGCCAATCACAGCCTTTCCCTTCACTCCCCGTCCACTATAGCCAGGTTCACTACAGTATAGCCTCTCGCAGCTGTATCCGAGCGCCCATACGAGTTTACGCCCCCCCATTATTGGGCACCCCTTGACTGCTGCCAACACGTCATAAATTTACCTCCCCCATAGAGCAAAAAAAAAAAAAACAGAGAACCGAAGAGTTTTGCCAGAATACCGTACGCCGCTGCAACAGTAGGGCGGGTGGAAGCACCATATTTTTATATTCTTTTTATATTCATTCCTTTCTATAGCCCTTTCATGCTATTAAATTTTTTTTTTTTGAATCTATATACGTTATTGACCCGGATATCGGTAAAATTCTTTGGGGTACAGTGCCGTGCAGTGCAGTGTTTACTGAATCTCCACTCCACGAAATCCCTACATTCTTTCCACCACTCCACGGGAAAGGAACCCCACTCGTTTTGACCTGTCCGGTGCTGTGACACCGTCTCCATCTCAACTGTGGGGTTCCATTGCTGATGCCAGCCCCACTAACCCCTCGTTGTGCTACTTATCCCGAGTGGGGTTTGCGTGCCGTGATGGATCACGAATCTTTCCCACATCTCCTCTAGCAGTACGGTAGCCACGGTCTAGGCACAGTACTGTACTCGCACATGTGGTACTCCGCACTTGTAAGTTAGACTTAGGGCATCCGGCAACACCTGCCGCCAATTGGAGATTTGGAAGTGGGGAGGGAGGCAGAACGTGGTATGATACCGTATAGATTGTATGCACGAATACTGGTGCAGCAGTCTCATGCGGTATATAAGGATTCCTCTCCCCGGCTCTGGTTTCCCCCACCCCTTGTCTCCCCGCCCCTTCACTTATTGCCCGTCCGGCAATTACCTGGGCTCAATTGCTTGTCCGGTGCCCGTGGCAAACTTCCCTATATACCAACGAGCATCCCACCTTTTTTTTTTCCCTACCAACTGAACACAAAATACCATCGAGATGCCATCTATTGGAGCACTGCTCATCATTGGTCTTTGCCTTGTTTCCTTCCTCGGAAACGTTGCTGCTGTGCCACTCCCAGAGGACGGGGTTGTCGGCCCGGATGAGGATGGTCTTGGACCTTCTTGTACTGTGATCAAGAGGAAGGAGTGGTTTGTTTCACCCACTCGTGATCCCTCAATTCACTTTTTATTTTCACGGACATACTGATTCCCGGTTGGTGGTGCTGTATAGGAGGAGGTTGTCCAAGGTTCAGAAGAAGAGCTACATCAAGGCGGTAAAATGCCTCCAAGATAAGCCCGCCATAGCGAAAGCCACGATCCCGAATTCCATTAGTCGGTTCGACGACTTCCAGGGCGTCCATATTCAGCAAACGTTCTCCATTCACTTTGTCGTAAGTATGCCTATCCACCGAAAACTTCCCTTGAGGAAGGTGGCGGTACCTTGAGTTATTGCCATCATTATCCCAGCCTCTGGTAAAAAAAAAAAAAAAGATGGGGAAATAAGAGGATGGGATTTCGGGGTTTTGATTGGAGCGCTTGGTGGCTCGGGCCAATCGATGTCCGTGTTTCTAACCCCTGTTTTCCCTTTTTTTTTTTTTCTCCAGTAGGCTGTATTGTTGGCGCGTTGTTCTTATAGGCTAATTCATTTGTTCATTCTCATGTCCAGGGTCACTTCCTAGCCTGGCACAGGTACTACCTAGCAATCTATGAGAAAGCGCTCCGCGAGGAGTGCGATTACAAAGGAGCGCAACCGTGCGTCTAAGCTTAACCTTTAATTTCGGCCCTTTTTTTTCTCTCTGAATCCTCCCTCCCTCCCTCTCTAAACAGCTTGCTAACCTGACACAATCCCGAACAAAGCAGATACTGGGACTGGACCCTCGATGCAGACAATTTCATAGCATCACCGCTATGGGACCCGGTAACTGGCTTTGGTGGAAACGGGGTTCCGGCTCCGGCAGACGGGTCCCCCTTCGCTGTCCCCGGTGCTACCGGAGGTGGGTGTGTCACCGATGGTCCGTTCGTGGACATGAGACTCCACCTTGGCCCTGGGCCTTCGCTGGCTGGCACGAGTCGCTGTCTGAGAAGGGCCTTTAGTCCTTGGATCGCGAAGACTTTTTCCAACACCGCTAAAGTGAATAATGCGCTCGCGCAGAAGGACTTTGGCTGGTTTAATAAGGTCGTAGAGGGAGAGACCAACTTTTTGAACGTCGGAATACATGGTGGAGGGCATTATTCTATTGGTGGAGAGGTGGGAATTCCTCCGCCCCCCCTCTCCCTGCAATAGGTTTTTCTAATATGGACTTCTCTTTCTTCCTCTATGATAGGCAGGAGATTTATATGCCAGTCCGGGGGAACCAGTCTTCTACCTCCACCACGCAAACCTTGATAGAATTTACTGGCAATGGCAGTCTATGAACCTGCCCGCTCGCCTTTCGGATATTTCTGGCCCCATTCAGATGTTCGGCCCGATCACTGGGCCTAATGTTACGTTGTCGTTCCCCATCGACTTGGGCCCTCTTGCACCTGCCGTTACCGTCCAGGAGCTTATGGACACCAAGGGGAATAAGACGGGGAGCGGAGTGCTCTGTTACACTTATCAATAGTGGAGACGAGACGAATAAGGCTTGGATTATATTAATAATAAATTATAATCTCTATAGTATCGTACATATATATCCATATGTACATGTACAGCTTACGGAGGTTGCGGGGAAGCGTCACTACATGGGTTTCCTTCTTAAATATATATCATGGGAGGAGTGGAGCTTCACGCACAATACGATACTGCTATCTACCACTAGCGTACTTCAGGCACAAATGGCAAGACAATAGTATCCTCGCCGGATCCCCTTCCCTCCCTCCCTTTCTCCGCGCAAACATGACAGCAGTGCCATAAAGATTTTCTCATCATTCCAAATAGGGAACGAAGACCAAGCATAGACTAACCGGCCCACACATTTTCCTCCATAGCAACCCTAGAACCGAAGCCCCATAGTATCTTCTCGCGCGACACCCCCGCGCTCTATAACATCATAAATCTCGGAAACCCAACGCTCACCTCACTTTTCAAGGTCGCCCAGAAGTGATAGCGCAAGAGCTTTTTCGCACAACGTGCCCGGCCACTTACTCCACTCCGAGTGAGAATCGAGTGACCTTCCATGAACAACTCTGGATTTAAAGGATATATATACCCGGCACGTCAATGGCGCCAAAGGTCTGCCCTTCCAGCATCCTTCGCTCAGCACTTCGTGAGACCGAACAATTTGCAACCGCTGCTGTAGGATTTGGTATGATCGTAGGGGGCAGAGAGAGGAACAGATAATCGGTATTGGACGGGGGTGGGAGGTGAATATCTAGATGATGCTATACCGTACCAGCGAAGCGGCATGATACCAATTCAATACACTGCTACGTACAGTCATGATATTCACCTTCAGCACGGTGTAGTATATACAGTACGATATAGTCTAGTATAGTAGGAACTATGCCGTACACCGTGCAAAGCACCCGGATCTCTCGTGGAATTTTATGATACAATTCCGTATTCCGAAGAAGAATGGTATGTTATATGATATGATATGCTACCCAGGGTCCGTCAGCCCCCACCACTCGTAGTACTACCTACCACCTTTCCCACCGGGGCGTGCTTTGCGTGCGTACGCATATATATATATATGCAAAATGGTACGGTGCACGCTCGGGTTAGCCAAGAGTGGGACTGGATGAATAGACTACCGTAAAAACTCGAATAATTGGCCCATGTGCTATGTCGTTAGGCTTTCCTCTCTAAGTATGGTCAACGGATTCTTGTTTTTTTTTTCTGTCTCAGGAGGGGGAAAGGGGCTGTGTTTTTGCTGTGTTTTTTCCCCCTCTCCAGAAAAGGGAATTCCGGACTTCATAGCAC